TACTATTCTGATAAAGAGGTTACGACCTTTCATCCAACAATAACTTTGTGGCCAGAGTACACGCAAGCAAAAATCGATCGCGTATTTCTGCGACTGGTGTAATCAGATTTCTTTAACCTTACCGCAGATTACTCATCGTTAAAGGTGCCCTTTCAGGCGTAGGACATCTCAATATAAACTAAGGTGGAAACCGTAAATCTTCGACAAACGGTAAGCAGTTGAAAAAACATCTTCGTGTTGGGATCTGTTGAAGTCATTCTTCCAGTTATTGTTACAGCGCTCGAGAAATAAGCACAAGTTTACTATGAAATATGTACGTACGTAATGGTTATTTGTTTAGCAATTTTCACAGTGCAATTGAGTAACAATGACCATGAGACATGTTTTCGCGTTCATGTGATTATCAGTTGGTATGTCCTTCGTAATGTGCTTGTTCAAAATTAAAGGATTATAAGCATTGCAATGGCAATACGAATATCAAATAACATAGTATTCATTATATTAGAAATTAAAAAAAAATCTTTAGTAGATAATTGTACGTCACGTTTAATAAAAAAGTAATACGTGTGAGCACGTTAAAACTTTCTTAATTTCTCTTTTATGATGTACCTACCTACTCTGCGTTATAAAAACAACTACAACAATTTACAATCTTTATTCTATCAAATTATTGTTGTTGTGTACAATATCGGTGGTTTTTGAATGGAAGAAATATATTAATATTTTATCATTTACATCTCAATGATATGACGACAAGTTCTCATGACCGTTTTACTGACATTAGAATAAATTTTCATATTCTATCAGTTCGAGGGTGGGTCAAAAATTTCTCGGAATTTTGGTACACAATAATAAATAATAGTTCAAAAAAAGACTCAAAAACACGCTTTTGTAGATAACTGTACTAAAAAGTAAAAAATAATATTCAATAAATTTAAATTATAAATTTAATCAACAAAAAAAAATATTATAGAAAAGCGCGGGGTGCTTAGAGTCAATTGTTATAATATTTTAATGACATTATATACAGTCTGGTAAGAGTAGTCATAACAAAAATATCTTAAAAAGCACCCTACGCTTTGTGCAATAATATTTTTTGTTAATCAAACTATTCACAATTTAAATTTATTGAAAATTATGTTCTACTTTTTAGTTCGTTTATCTACAAGCGTTTTTTAGTTTTTTTTTTAACTATTATATATATACATATTTTCTATTTACTAGTTCTGCTTAGTATAAAAGCGCGTTATTTATATTTTTTTTAATGCATTCTTGGCGCAAGGACACTACCGTGTATCGGATTTGGAAAATAGCTAATCCTGAAGGTCAGTCTATCAGGATAATGGGAAAAACTATTTTAATTATTGCATTTTCTTTGACGAGTATGCAAAGTTTTATTATTTTATGCGTGTTAAAAATACAACTAATGATTTTTCTTTCTTAATATATTCAACCTTAATAAATTTTGAATTTATTTAACTCATACCGTATTTATACCTTCATTTTCGGGACACAACTAATAATCGCTTGGGGCTAATATAGTATATTCGATAATTTTGGACAACAACTTGCGCCTTGCGCAACGATGCACGTACGTACTGTCTACGTCTACGAGTTGTCTTAAAAAGTGAGCCTTTGATAAATTTTCCCAATCTTTTCTCCCCTCACAACATCTCGCAGACGAGGTGCAGCATGGTACTCACACTCAGTTATAGACACCCTCTTCTTTGTAATCTGGAAGCGTGCCACAGAAAGGACTGCCACTGAATCCCAGAAACATGAATTTCCACACATCACCACCACCACACTGCACCAAAAACACGCAACAACACTTAACTCTAAGTCTGTGAGCATTCTCGACACCCACCTCATGCACATCTTTTTCATGCAGAGATCTTGCAAGTGTCCAAAATGGCTATACTAAAACGCCAATCATTTATGTATACCCAACTCTAACGGAGAAGAAAATGGCGAAAGAAACTCCGTAGATATCCTATTTTATGTAATTTTTTCTTTTTAAAAAAATTACATTGTTATACAGTACCTAAATTTTTTTTTGAAAAAGCTTAGGAGCGATCAGCATATTCGAAAGGGTTATTGTCATTAATGTATTCATTTATATTATAATAAACCTTTTTTAAAAGTTCTTCTTTAATAAATTTTTTAAACCTGTTAATAGACAGACCATGCGCATTAACTGGGATTTTGTATTAGAAGCGTATGCAAGGTCCCATGAACGAGTTACTTGCTCTATGAATTCTAGTCACTTACCAAATAAAACTTTAGTTCTTTAATGAAATCGACATTTGTATTTTTATATAAAAAATATATTTTATTGAATACAGCAATCTAAAATATTAAGTAAAAACATAATTAAGATTGACTTATCCTGTAATGTTGATTATATAGACGTGTTTTATAAACTCAATTGTATGTAAAAACACATGAACAAATATCTAGATCTGGAATGGTGATCTGCACATCATAGTTTATTATCTACACCCTCTGCAGGAATCGAATAGACGATCCACGGCGATTATACCTACTAACTTGTAAATAACGTAGTCAACAAAACCACGTAAGAATACCTTGACTTTTATACAAGCATGAATAATGTAGAAGCTAGTGATTAACTTAAAATATGTATAACATCACTGAGGTTATTAAACTTATAACTATGCACTTAATTACATCATGTTCTTAACAAACTTCTTAACAGGAATTGTTGAAATATTATTAACAAGTCTTAAAGAGAAGTTAAATCACACAGAAAGGAATTTAAAATATTATATAATAGATTATTATATAACTTTATATTATACATTTGACAATAGGTATAAAAATTAAGAAATATTAAGAGTTAATTGCCTTTTACCAAAATAAGAAATAAACTTGTTTTGTAGATCATCAGGGTCCAACCATTCAAAAAATAAGTGTTTATTTAACTCCGAGTAGTCGACATTGATAAATTGTTCTGAATGGCAATTCCATATTCGTCTCGAAATAACAACAATTCGTGTTATATACAGCCTGTCGTTACCATTGCGACAATAAATGAACACACGTCTAACGCTACTTGCCAATAATCATAAAAAAATATTAACGTTAAACAAAATCCATGATTAAAAAAAATATTTTTCAAACAAAAAAAAATATTTTTCAAACAAACTAATTAAGTAAAAAAGAAACAAAATTTGTAACATCCTATACAACTCGCGCCACAGCGTCGTATTACAAGCCTCTCCTTCTAACAGTATGTTTTGTCTCTTTTAAATTCACTCAACTCATTCATATGCTTTGTGACCTTTACAAATGAACTTTACGTTACGCTTTTATAAGTAGGGGTGTTCTAAAATTCTTTGTTTTGGAAAATTTAATAACTCTGTAAATATTGATGTTTAAAGAATTTAAATGTTTAATACAACTTTAAAAAGTTATCCCCTATATGTGTGTTCATTTATTGTCGCGATGGTAACGACACGCTGTATATGAAAAGGCTTGTACAAATGTGTACAGACTAAGACTTCACCTAATATTTTATTTAGTACATCTATTCTACTAACATCATTAAAAATTAATTAACAAATCGATGACCAGCAGATTGAATTAGTCTGAATGTTAATTAAAGTTATTTCCCTCAAAGGTTACGATTACTTTACGCTTCCATTATCACCATGGTGCTTGTTAAATTTGTAAGTTTTGTTTCTGCACATTATCTACCTACAACGTTATAATCAGAAATAATCTATTCCAAGTTATCTCGCGCCGAATACACTCAAGGTCAAATGACTTGATATTTCGGTGATTCATTTTATGACGACTCGCGGTTTTACATGGCTACATTTTATTAAACTCCGATATATAATACCCACGTCTTTCTTATTTTCTTAGTACGGAAAATAACGAGCGAACGTGACCGACAAGATAAAATGAACCAAATTACTTATGCTAAAAAAACTAACATGATTTGTTCGTATGATATATCAGCGAATGTAATAGTCTATAATTACTGAGAAACATAACTGTTACTTTGTCACCCGATACATTTTAACAAACAATTTGTATAAAGTGTCCTTGTTTATAAATTGCGTTATGCCATTAACTGCTTACAAACAACACCTACTAAAGATCTCGGTTACTCCGTCGAAAGATGATATCAGCTTCGTAGCCTAGTGGGCGACAAGAACTCCAAATTTGATTTGGAACAGACGGTTCTCCTACCTACCACTTGCGACTTAAACAACTTGGAAATATAGATAAGTATGCTAATGGCCTAGCACTTAATGCCCAATTCTTACTAATAACGGCCATCAACATTCCAGATATTTACAACAATATAATTAATTCTCTCCAAAAATTGTGTACCTACATAGCAGAAGTATTGACAATATTAGCAATTTTTTTGATAATTACCGTTTATTCAATATTTTACTAACACTTTTCTGTATCAACAAACATACACAGAAATACCAATGCTGTAGATGTTTTTTTTAATATGTACCAGTCGCCAGCACCTCGCTACAAAAATCCAAAAAATATAATGGCACCTGTAGTAGGTACCTTCTTCTTACTTTGCAAAGGTTCTTCCCTCTCGAGTAGACCTTGAAAAGTTTCTGCACCTACCGCTACATCAAAAAGCTCTTTCAGCAATAATAGCAACTCATAATGGCCTCAATGACTCGCATATGGCGAGTTGCATGATAAATTCTGCCACCTGGTGTGTACAAGGCATGATTTAACGGCATTAAACTCCTATATAACTTCTGATTTTGAAATAATAATGGCGAGAAGCGACCTTATTACATGCGTCGCATGAAATCATACCTGCCGTTAATTTATACTTTGGGGACGTCTTATGTCATGTTGTAATAATAACAATGAAGTAATGTTCTTTTAGTTTATAAATACGATATGTAAACAGGCAACGTGTTTAATGTATGATGATCCATATTCCTAAAAAAAAGAGAGGTTAATATCCACTTATTAAAAATAGTGCTTACCAATTGAACGATTTTCAACAATCCCGGCGGCGATTTAAAATAGTCAACATTAATTTTGATCCAGTCTAACGGCCCGCCCTGCTGCTGCGGAGGTGGCGCTTGCTGCGGCGAAGGCTTGTTAGGGTCCACGGTTACTACTGTCTCGGGAGCCATCATCCTCTTACTGATACAAACGACGGCGCAATAATAACGCGACCAGAATGTTTATGTTAATAGTTACACGAACACTGTCACAAGAAACTTAGTGCACTGATGACCCGTAACACATTTTTGTCCGGCAGCTGCTGTCGTACGATTCGAACGACGTGCGACCGACGTGTCGGGTGAACTAGCGGGGAATGAGAATGGAGCCCGGTTGAGCCGCACTCCGCCGCCGCCTCCGTCACACAACAATTTGTGGCACAAACGAACGGGGCAGTTGTCGCCGCCTGGTGACGGAATTTTATTTTAGACGTAACGGCGAAGACGTCTATCAAACACAAATCTATACGTTTCATCTTTAACACTAGGTTACTGTTCCATAAGTGCACTAGAGTTAATAAAGTAAAATAGATGAAAGTTTACTTTAGACCAGATTAAACAAAACAAAGCTTAAAGGACGATGGGTACACGTTCGAAATTATGAAAATTTTGTCATGATGAAAGTTAAAATGTTTCAAAAAAATACCGTCTCAAATTAAAGGTATACATAAATAGTATTTACCTAGTTTAGAAACAGGAATACAAGCATAATTATCATCCTATGAAATAAAGAAATCAATTTAGAATTATTGATCTAAAAGTACATTGAGTGCAAGATTTTAACATAATATTAAAATCACACACAATTTTTTATTACAGTAACTAAATAAAAGAATATCGGATTCCAAAAGTTGTTAAATTATTATGTTAAAGGTTGTACATAGTTTAGATTTTCAAGATTTTAATTATATCATAAACTTTTTAGTGCTAATAGAGTTTTTTGAAGTTTTTAGTGTTTTTTATATTTATATTTTAATATCTGCCCTTATCTGATATGATTCTTACTTGCGGGGTCGCTCGCAGTGTGTCCGCTACGATGATGCTTCATCTGGCTGGTGATCTTACTGCAGGTGTTCCTCAAGGTGGCGACTTATCTCTCTTATTTTCAATAGTTATTAATTCTGTCACTCATGTGATATCTTCTTAGTTTCTATATATGTTATGTATTATTTATATTAATTTATGGATATATTTATGTATATCTTTATGTAAGGTATGTTATAGGAATATCTGGGTGCACTGAACACATTTCCAGCTACCTTCAATCACCTATTTTCTCACTAGGTTAGCTGGCAGAGAACTTTTGTACATTATTTAAATTGTTCATTTTTTGTATCTTGTGTTTGTGTACAATATATAAAAAAATACTTAGGTATTATAAAAGACGGGTAGATTAAGCAAATGTTACGGTGTCAAAATAAAATCAAAACGAAATCGGGACTAAAAAGAAAACGATTAAAAGCAAATAAGAAAAAAAATCTCTAAGCATTTCAAGTGAGAGGCCTCACCAGCACAAAAATATATTGTTAGGTAAATGACGCAACCCAAGAAAATTGTTTTAGTTTAATTCGCACTCGTTTAGCTATAAGTTAATTTACAAAGATTTGACCAGATATGAATCTGAACAACTCGCAAAACAAGCTCCTTGATAATTGCGATAGAAAATGGTAGGTAATAGACGCACTCTTCGCAAGGCCAAAGTATCGAGTGATTGGAGACGACGATGACGATTTGAGCGGCTCTACGTTCGATGCCTTAAAATGGAAGAAGCAGGTATTGAGATGTCCCAGCTAAGATGGGAATTTCCATGCGCAGCCAAATCAGAGTAAATTAGTAATATTTGCCTAGCTGATACTTAGGGCATCATCTGTACTAATCATCCGGTAATATGCACAAAGTCTTCGATATACTGATAATATATATTGATAACGTAGCCTAGTGAGAAACTATCATAATTATAACGAACGAAGAGAATTTACAACTAATTCAGAAAAGAAAGATTATCGCAATGGGCCGGTAGTTGAACAGACCGGGCGTACTGTTTTTAGGGTGCACTTCTTGAAACAATACGAAATAGACGGATAGTACGGAAAATACACGTTAAGATCGGTACGTTCAGGCCCATTTGGCTTGAGGATATTCCAGCTCCAGCCAGCCAGAAACCGCGTGAAGGAACTTCAATTATTTTTATTCTTCTTCAGTTCTTATTACGTGTAAATACGGTAACACCAAAGATTATAAAAAGAAGCTGAAGTTAAAACCGTTAACCTCACAGAACAGTATGAATAAAAGTTTTTTAGTTCCAGGTTTAAGTTTGATAAAAATGTATTACGTGTAATACTCCAGAGTCGAAAAGGAATTAAATAATACGTAATAGAAATATTTAAGGTCTTAAACATATCATTCCATTAGAAATGAAACAATTTTTAGGGACTTATCGCGTTTATTTTCAATATCCGAATTCTGACGTTTAGAATTCTTTACAGCGTTCATTGGCGTTCATGGTCACGGGACTAAGGCGTTGGACGTATGAATTTCATAGTTAACCCATGCCACCATCAGTTGTTAAATTATTAATTTTGTGTCCAGTCTTGCAGGAGCTAATTGTAAAGTTTGGGCCTAATTTTATTGATGATAGGAACCCAAGATGATGGTAGCACCCAACGCTCTTCACTATTGAAATTAGAATATTTTTTTTTATTTCAATAGCCTTGTGAATCATCTTTGAATGTATAGCTGACTTAAATCATAGTAGCTCAAGGAAGTCTGCAGTTTGTGAGGAACACTATCAGGTTTGATAGACCACAGATCCTTCAAAAGATCACAGATTCTTTCCAAGTTAACACTTAAAATTAAGAATTTATATATATTGGTGCCGGCATCAAGGTTTGAAATCTGGTTGCTTGAGAGCTATCACTCCTATTTAGTAAAAAAAAAAAGTTGTAATAGCCTACAAATGTTCCACTGCTGCACAAAGACCTCCTCCACTGCGGATTGTCGGACTTCACAAATGTTCAAAATATTTTTAGTAAAATTATAAGTATTTGAAATCAGAGCTCCTCTTCTTTCCCTAGATCAGCGACTCTCACACCTTAAATGAAAACTGATACAAATCCAAAAATAAGTTTCAAACTTAGCCAACGGTAGAGGCTGGAATAAATTAAACTTAAATTACGTATATTGAAATTTTAGACTGTTTACTAGTAAGAAAACAATGAAAAGGATTGAGAAAAATTGTCTTCCATACCAAGTATTCAATAAGATAATAATTATAATGGTAATACATTGTAACTTTATTAACAGATATAAACAAAGGGCTAAACAAATAAAACAAAAAGTCACTTTTTCATATGTATTGCATAACCTTAGAAAAAGAAGCCTAAAATTTTTCCTCCCAAATGTTTCCTTCTGGCTTCTTCATGATCCATTATACCACCACTTGTTGTAAGAACTAAGTATCTGAAAGTAAAAAATGATTTTTGCTGCATCAAATCATGTATCAAATGATCAACATCATGTTTAAAAATGAATCGCTAGATAATCGAAAATATATTTTCCAACTGGACTTACACAAAAAGCAGTATACAATTTAAATAACATTGTTTGAAATGTCACATACAATATTTCCTATGTTAGGCAACATCACTTTGTAACATTTCATTTATTTTTGCACAATACTTCAAATGACAATCAACAAGAACTATTGATGATCCGCGGTGATTGTGCTTTTAGTAATAAGTCCTTAATTCATCAAGCTAAGTTATTTAAACCTTTCTTTGCACTACTCTTTTAAAACTGTATTTGAGATTTTTGTGTAGGAATATTTAAATACATATATGTTGGTTGAGTAAAAGTAAATTATTAGCATTCTTTACATTCATACCAATATTCTCAATTTATTGGTATGAATGAATGTAAAGTATTAATTTTTATTCTTTGTTGTGATTCCATTTGCACTTGCACTTTTGACTTACATGTATTCAAACCATGCTTGAATACATGTAATATGCGTGTGCATGTTTCAAGCATGCTTCAGAGAACAGATTTGTTATTGAATTTTCTTTATGAATAAATTTACCATTGGTATGTATGACATTACATGAAAATATTGAACATTTAAAAAGTACTAAATATTAACAATTATTTAAAGAACTTCAGTTTTAGGTAATATTAATAAAATTAATTTAATTTTGAATATGACCATTAATAATTTCTAGGGTAAGGGGCAAATTTAGGACCAATATAAGATGATTTATAAATAAAAAAACATGGCCTATTTTAACACCAAGAAGCCTTAAAAAATTATATTTAATACTGAATTAATCTTAAACACCAAAATAAAAAGGTAAATTGATCATTATAAATGATAAAGATATTGACTGAAATCATAGAACAACTAAAAAGAACATGGCCAAGACATGTTATTTTCCCATCTACAAGTAATAATGTATTAGAGCTTAATGCGAACCTGAAACAGTATGCAAATAGCATTAAGAAGACTGCAAGTTGATATTAACTTAAAATTTACACACAAAACATTATTTTCAAACAAGCTTATTAAACAAGAAGATGCAATTTCTAGATAAAACAACCATATCAAATTAATTAAAGTAAAGCAGATGTGTACTTACCCGAACTGTCGAGAGGGAAGCAGGTTAGTCCACCTTTCAATATCATTGATGGGTACATCAAAACGAGGAGAAATTACCCCGCATTTGTTCAACCTGCCTGTTAGGTTTACTACAATTTTACCAGCTCTGTGATCATCAACAATTTCGAATTCACCAATGTACCCGTGCTTCATCATCACAGTAAGAAATTTGACAATAACTTTGGAGCAAGGACGAATAAGCACTTGCCGCTTGCCTCTTTTCTCGGCATTGTGAATAGATTTTAAGGCGTCACTCAATACATTCATTCGCACCATGGCTGAAATATAATTTTAAAAACAATTTCAATGATATCACTTCACCAAAGCACGGCGGAAATGTCAAAACATATCGAAACAATATAGGTTAACTGAGGATTTTCGACATAATTCGCTAAAATATTGTTTTAAATAGTATCGTTGGCAAAAAATGTCTACGTTTTATTTCAGTTCATGTGTTAAAAATTTGCAAATCCAATGATTACCTAGGATTTAAAACCCGCCTCAACGTTCAGTAATGACAGGTTAGTCCAAAAAGAAAAAGAATAATTTCTGTGACCTCGGTGTTGACAGCATTCAAATAGGGATGGGCGTCCGTCGTCACCGTCGAGAATCAAAGCTAAGAAGAAAAATATTTATTTTTTGTATTTCATTTTTAATAACTATGACATAATGTTTGATTAGGAAATAACAAATGCGAAATCATGTTTCATATTAAATAATGTTAAAATAATAATACTAAATACAATTTCTTTGAAAAAAATATAAGTTAACGTTACTTTACTTATGTAACAAAGCAAATTGCTTAAAGTAACAAAGCAGTAAAATCTGAATAATTTTATGAAATCGAAAATCGATTAAAGAATGTTATCAGAACAAATCTATAAAAAAAAAAGTTGAAAGTTGAAACATCCCTTTTCAGGGCTGCCAAGTTACAATTAAAACCACAATAAAATTAATACGTTAAAAGTAAACAAGCTTACTAATTATTAAAAATTTCCGATTTAACAATTTGTAATAAAATAAGTATAATTCCGAATAAATAACTTGCTTCAATGAAGTTAAGCGACTGATATCGATGATCCTTTTTAGTCTGTTGAATCTTTGAATATACATGTTTGTGTGAGGCTGTGAGACCGTATGCGTATCCAACAACTTTAGTACGCACGCTCGCGTCTTGGTCATGTCCTTCAAGTTAAATAAGTGATTGTGAAATAAGTTTTTGAAAACTTTCAAAGTTTGTAAATTGGCAAAAAAATTAAAATGAGTGTCGGTTTTTTCTTTTGCTATTGATATGATATTATTATTGCATTAAAGTTTATAAAAATATTAAAACATGAACTCTTTAAAAGTTCTCTAAAGGGCCCATAAAGTTGAGTGAACTTTCATACCTTCGTACCGTTTGTAATCGCGCAAATCCCACAGGTGTTGTTAAACTATGTTGTGAGAGTAAAATCCTAGCAACCAATATAAAAATGCAGATATTCTTATGCACCTTTCTTAATATGATACACTTTCGTGAGTCAAATTATTTTAAATTAGTAGAAAAAGTGCTATTCTAAGTGAAATACTGTTTAACGGGTAATGGAAGAATTGGAACGGTTATTTAAAATGTATTCAAGGAGAATTCATGGTCTCCTCTTAATTGTTTATTGCTTTTCTGAACTTACATATGCCGCTGATACCTCAGGTAAGTTTTGTTTATTCTCTATACTACGTTGTTTTCTTTAACACCAAACTGTAAGTAGTGCTACTAATTCTATAAAACTAAACCAAATAAACTTTGGCTTGAAATAAATCTTTATCAAAATTTATTTAGATGTTTTGCATACATTTTTTAAATGTTGTATCTATAATATATATACATTGTAATAAAGATACATTGTCAGTATGAATAATATAGTATACTTAAAGTTAACTACTAACAATTACTAAAAGTCTAAAGAAAAAAACTAACGTTTAATACATATAAATATAACAGAAACACGTTGTTTACTTACGGTAATTACCTGCATGAAGTTAGAACTGTAAAAAAATTGAATTTTGCTTTAAGGAATTTTTTAGCAATTATAATTATAGATCCATTTAAATTCAATTTATTACATAATTTCACCTACGGAGTATCTATTAATATTTGTAATAGTTTTTATTCTGTACGATCGTACAATTCTAACGCAATAATTTCAGTTAACGGTATTCGTAAACTAAATCTGAAAATGTTTAATCTCAGAATACTCCAGAGCGTACATATTTCTTTAGACTCAATGATTAAACTCTAATCAACTCATCAAGCACTTTAATTAACTGAGCTAACTTAAAGTGGGACTAAAATATTCAATTACTCATTAATGTGTCAATTTGCTTTTGCATACAAATGTATCTGGAATGTTCCAACACGCAAATTTCGTCTAAAGGTTGATAAGGTTTCGCTATATGTATGGCATGTATTTAATAAGTCACTATCGTTAAACTCTGTTCTGATCCAATTGGGGTAATCAGGGATCATATTATAATATTTTAAGATAATCAAGAAAAATAATTTAAATTGTTTGCTCATTAAATCTCTTCCTTAAAATCAAAGCATTACGTTTCAGAATCAATAAAGAATAATAAACAAAATACATATAAACTTTTCGCCGTTACAGTACAACTTTTTACATAAAAACATGAACCGGAGAGAAACAGAACGCAAACTGACATTATAACAGAATTGGATGCTTATAAATGCATTTTGTTCTTGTTCTCAACGAAGGGAACATTTGAGCTAAATATAACGGTTCTCAATACGAAATAAATAGTTTGCACATATTGTACTCTAAACTTTAAACCAAACTTAAAGACGAGGACACGAGCGATGTACTAATTTTGGACCAAATTAAAGGTGTACACCTAAATTACCATGATATGAATCCTGTTAAAAATAATTCAGCACTCAAATAATTTCAATAGTACTCACCGCAGGTTAAGTTCGCGTCGAAGTTGCTTTTAATATTTCGCCTTTGAATCGAGCCAAATGAAAAAGTCGCACGACGCGTTAAAGTATCCGTAATAGGTAAGTTGCAGTTTATACATATAAAACTGAGTCTCCAAAATACTTTATTAAAAAAAATCCGTATTTATTTATTTTCGAATATAACCAATGTTTTTTGAATAGGCGTGCGTCCGTTCACCGCTGAGCACGTGATAATTCAGCACGTGAAAGTAACAATTTCATTGGTGCCGGCACCAGAGATCGAACTCAGGTTGCTCGAGTATATTGAATTAAAGACGAGCGCCCGGACACTGAGCTATCAAGGCTCTGTCATTTATGTATTGTTCATTTATATTAAAAAAAAATATTTTTAATATAAATAAAAATATTAGAATTTAAATCAAAATTAAAAACGCGATAAAATTCTTAAAGTAGTTTCATTTAATATGTATAATATTCGCGTAAAATCAAGAAAACAAAAAATTATTTAATAAATTTCTTAAACCTGTTTATTATGCAGGCTCTGCGCATTTATGGGGTTTTGTTGTATAAGCGTGTACCGTGCGTGTATATAGTGTATACCGTCCCATGATCGAGTTACTTACTCTATGGAGTCTATTAAGTGATCATGCATGTGTATCAAAACTTTGTAGTTGTCATTTAACTCTGCTCTGCATTAAGATCTGCTTTGCGAAAGCCAAGTTATTGTTATCTACTGTATGTATCTAAAATGGAATTACTCGTAATTTTTTTATGTTAAAATTTATCAGTCGTAATGTTAAATTGCTTTATTTTATTTAAACTAAAAATTATATTTATACCCAGACCGTAATCACAAAAATTTAATTTAAAAGTTACTCTTTTTTTTGTTATATCTTTTCACAATCTTTTTAAGCCCGAGAGATAAATCCTTACATTATTGTAACAAGATGTATTTTTGTAATAATATGAAAAAAAAAAAAAACAAAGTTCATAAATAATGTAGCCGGCAAGTGTATATTGTAGACACATAATTTATTCGCCAGGCCGTTGAGTACAGGTTGGGTAAAATATGAGACGACTTTATGACTGAATAACTCTTTCAGTCTTCGAGGACGAGAGCACAAGCGGCCCCACAGAAATGCATTCACGAGCACGCACGTAAAGTACTCGAGGCACATTTCGAATACATCCTGTAGTACATGCCCCTGAAATGCTTTGTGAGTCACAATGACTTCACGTATTAAAAATTAAAACTTCAACAATGTTCCTCAACGTGTCATTATGAAAATATCAGATCATTTATGATCTATACCTAAATAATCAATATAAAGTAAAAAAAATCCAATTTTTTTGCTTAGATCTTCTTAAATTTTGCCAATGCTGCTACGTCGGTGACTAAGATACCCGAAAGGAAATTCCCGTTTTAAATTTTTTATAGTTATTTCTTTATTCATTCCTTTATTTTTTTACACATTAACCTCTTGCCTCCTGCTCGTCGAATTGTTCGGGAACACCTGACTCAGTGGAAAGCAGATGACGTACAGCTTATTTAGTAGTCCGTCACGTAACAGTTAAAGAACCTGTTGCCGTGCACCGAGCATAGTTATGAAACAGTGATATTTGCATATAAAAAAAAACTGCAAGAAATACGAAAACAATCGTGAACGTAGTTAGATTCGAGCCGGCGTCTCAACACAAGCTACAACTATCTTTATTTTACAAATTTTTGTATACAGTCAAAATGTGCACTAAAAAGATCTCATATATTGCAACTACACTCGTGAACATAATTAGACGAAGACAAAAAAAGGGGGCAGTAGATGGCAACTGTTGTATTTGTCTTTCGTTGTCTCCATATTTTGACACTTTTATATGACATTCATCTGGCTAAAGACAACCAGTACTGGTCGCTTTGTGAGCGAGCAAAGTTGAACCGAGATTAACAATGACATGTAGTTAGCATAGTTAGCAAGGGATTTTGCAACCAAGTACGTCATCGTTGTTAACTCAAGTCATAAAGTGTATAAATGAATTGTCTTGATTGTAGATTTTTTAAGAACTTTTGATAAAAAGAGTTAATAACGATCTGGAATTTCTTAAAACCGACAAACGACAACGAAATAAATAAATCGATTAATACTTCTTTGATTAATTAGGTAGGTATAAAATATCCAGAGGTAAGCTTGAGTATAACGTTTTTAAA